ACCTCTTATAAAAAAATACGCACGCCCAAAAACAATCATACACGCAAAAAACCACTGAAGCATACACTAATTCACATTCACCCAACACTAAAGGTCCGACTAACCAACTTAACATCAACTTCAAAGTTTAGTTTAACTTTTGAGTGCGTTAATTGAATAGGAAATCTGAGTATTTCAAGGGTCATATCGACCGTCTTGGATGTCTAATAAAAGGAGGCTAAGGAATTTACGCAGTTGATATAGCGAGTGATTAACATTTTTCTGAATGGTAATGTTTTATCTAGACCCTCAGCTATGTCCTTTGTGGAGAACATGTACCTCAATCAGTTGTTGATTACAGCTATAGTTTTCTACCTTTGGCAAGCATAAATTCTTCATGATGCTTTCACTAAATTCATTTTCCTTGTATCATCATAACACAGAGGAGCCCACTGGACGCATATACTGTCATCCATGGCAACATGCATTTGTCTTGTTTTTGTTTCGGTTGTATAGTATGTAAAGTTAAATACAACAACATGAAAAAGAGAAAGAAAATGGGAACCTTCTTTTTATTTTTGCCAAAGTTAGCAAGTGAAGCGAAATTTCCATAAAATGGAAAGAGAATTCGCATTTTCGAGCTGACAATTCTAAGCTACCAAATTTTGTATTGTTTGATGACAAACAGACATAAAATTGATTTCAACCTCCAGTCTTTTTCACTAGTCCTCTATCCACAACCATCCTCCTTATGAAGGGTGAACAAAAAACAACTTACTACAATGATGTTTTCTGTCTACTAAGTAATTCATTTGTGAAAGACTATATCACTGTTCTTTCACCTCTTATCTTGCTCATTACAGATTACTATCATCATTTGAAAGTTTCTTTTTTCACAAAAGTGTGCCTCTGGGAAAGGAATTATGGGAAGAAATGATCCCAACACAAGTTAAAAAAGGACATTTGTCAGTTAGAAAACCTTGCTGCTCTAGTAGTATGAGCTCATTTAACAGTAGAGCAAAAACTTCAAAACTTTCTCCCAAGCAACAAAGGGTCTACTATAAAAGAGAAAAACAAGGTACATTTGGCACGGCATCACTACTCCAAGCAGAAGATAAAACCAGAAATTATCCCCGTTTTAGAACTTAGACACTATTGAGTTCTTTTTTGTGGCAAATAAACACCACAAGTTGTTCAAACTTGGCAGTTACTATCCTCAGGATTGTGTAAACGTAAAAAATTTTAACTGAATGTTCCCCTGTGATAAAATTTATAACTTTCTAACCATTAATATTTGTTAAACTTATCACTAAACACAACCCAACTCTATTTTAAAGTAGAATTAAAGTAAGTTTAAAAAAGAATTTTGTATAGATCCTTCCAAATAAATCCCTTCCAATTTTCTCAATCAAAGAACCAATCCTTATTCTCCTTTTACTCAGAGCGGCCAAGCTCCCTTTTACAACCGAGCGGTCAGAAATCGAGCAGGAATCTAACCTCAGGGAGCCACTTCTCGTTCTCGGCATCCGCAAGCACAAATCGAACCCAATCCTCATTCTTGGCCTCCAAATCAAGAACGAGGTCAAGCAGGGAGCTGCAAAGCCTGCACTTGGGCGAGTAGAACTCGATCACCGTCGCCTCCTTCGCGCTCGCCAGCGCCGACGCCAGCGCCCGGTGCTCGGCCTCGCCTTGCTCCTCCGACGAGAGCCGAACCCTACGCGCCGGCGGTCGAGGTGCGCTCTTGTTGAGGGTCTGGGTGGCGATGGAGGCTAGGGTTTGGAAGGATCTGAAGAGCCATGGCGGTTCCAGAGGGTCGCATGGGGTGGATGAGGCGGCGGCACTGCCTCCTTGAAGCAGAAGAGAGGAGGAAGAGGGGGCTTGGGTTTTGGACCTGCGGACATTTTCGATTAGAATTTCCCATGAGTGAAGGCGGCCTTTTTACTGTGGGTTTTTTTTTTACTATATGCCCGCAAATTTATATTGTTTACAGAATTTACCTCAAACACTGCATATTTGCAAATATACCTTCGCATTGACGCATTGAATTTTTTACCCCCTCCTAAATTTCATACGGACAAAGTAACAATCGTGTTAGATTTTGGACCGTTTGGCCATCATTGAAAATTAGAACACAGATTTTGTAGAACTCTGATTGGAAAAATTAGGCTTTAGGCCAAAAAATGTCATTAAACTGGTTCTATTTTGAACCACTTACTCTTGGTACAAAATATAACCGGTTTAACTTAAAACTAGGTCAGAATCGATTCTGACCTATTTTTATACAATTTGCGAAACAGAGCTTTACAAAACAAAAGTATTTTTGATGGGATGGGTTATCTTTCGCATTTGGTCTCATCTCACCTTCAAATTTAATGATTTTATATATATAATATATATACACATATATATACTAGTATGATGCACGTGCTTTACACATGTGCCCATTTTTATATTTATATATAGACTTTCAGTGCATATTAATTTTTCATATGTGTTGAATTTGATTGTTTTTAAGATGTTTATCAAAAAAAGAGATGACTGCGATTGAATGAGTATAGAGTACGATTGAATTTGTACAATCACATGATTTCCATAAATTACATGATAACAAATGATTTCTTTCCCCAATATTTTTCCAGATGTAGTTTGCCGATGAGAAAAAAGAATTTATGTTGCTGAAATTCATGTTGTGCGCACAATCATAGTGTAGAGTGTAAATTTTGATCTCCCGAAAACAGGGAACTTCGTTTGTATTGATAAGAAAGCTTATTACAAACTAATAAATCGAAATTACAACAGAAGCAGAGGGAATGCCCTCTTTGTTTAGTGTGGGGACTTTTGGTAGCTACAGGATGCTTCGCTCGATGCTCGTGTCGAGTCTGCTTCCCTTGGACCGTTTGACCGAGGTTGCTGGAGAGCTTCAGTACGCAGTAGAAGCTCGGTTTGATAGAGTTCGGGTCTTCTAGTTCGCCGACGATCGGGGCTCAGAACTAGGAAGTGGTGCTGCGATGCCGAAGTTATGCAGAGAGCTTGGTCTCGATCCCCTTTTCTCCAAGTTTTTTGACCCCTCCTTTAAAGGTTGTTGGAAGAGGCTCTTAGATGAAAGAGAGGCAGTTTGGTTGTTCCTTGAATTATGGGATATAACCATACATTATTCAGAGACATTCTGCTGTTCACCCGTACCATGAGCGGTCATTCGAGGAGCCGTGTTTTGCATCACGTCATGTAGGAGTGGGAAAGCCCATCCTCGTACGTATGACAACGGTTGTCGGACACTCGAGTGGATCTGACCAACTCACCGAGCCCCGGCGGTTCTCGGCCCTTGCTTGGACAAGTGAGGTAAGCCGCATTTATGAGGGTGCAGGTTGATTTGGCGTTTGTCTGACCACTTGTACTGTGAGCGGGCATTCGGCGGGCCTGGAGTACCGTGTCTTCTCTCTTCAGGTCGAGAGAGGCGGGAAAGCGGGTTCCCGGTACTCGAGTGGGCTTGGACAGTTCGCCGAATACTGGCGGATCTAGCTCTTGACTCGGACGGATGAGGTGAGCTGCATTTATGAGCGTTCAGGTTGACTTGACACCTACCTGATCACTCGTACTGTGAACGGCCACCCGACGGGCCTAGAGTACCGTGCCTTCTCCCTTTAGGTCGAGAGAGGTGGGAAAGCCCGCCCCGGCACGTGGGGTAGCAGCTACCTAGCTATTCTGGTGACCTTGAGGTTTGCTGGCGAATTCGACTACAGACTCTGTCAGGCGAGTTATGATAAAAGGTGAATTCCCATGGCTTGGGCGACTTCTCCTTGCAGGCGAATTTCCCGCAAGCTTATGGAGGTATTTTTTACCGTCTACAAGACCCCCTTCAAAGTTTTCAGACCTAAACCAGCTCGCGTGTGGTCTGGAATACTTTGAATAAAGAAGTTCTTGGCGAAACAAGTATATTCGGTTTCTTTTAGGATTTTTAGCAAACCCCCAGCTATCAACGGGTTTGATATGCTTTTACTGATTACCGTTTGAATCGGGCTAGCCATACTATTCCCCTCAGTATGATGAGTTGTCGAGTAGTTTCTCTTAGACTTGACGCTAAGATTTCTACTCTAAACCTCAGCCGTTCGAGGCATGGGTTTAAGCGAGGCCATCTCGTTGGCGGTTCAAGGCTCGGGACAAGGCGTGTTATTTGTCGTTTGTCTCCAAGGGCGAATGAGCCGTTCAGGTGAAGTTAGGTTTTGGAGGTGAAATTCTGTTCGACTTGCGGATTTGGGTCGAGTTTTCGCAGGCGAGACCTTGCCTTTGGGCGAAACTAGGTTCGGTGTGGGTGAGCCACGTGTCCGCTGGTGGGCTTCGTGCTCTCCAGCTAAGGCGACGTGGTTCCGTCACGTCGCGCTCATTTCGACAATCTGACGCAAGCTTCGTGCGTCTCGTCTGAATCGTGGCCGTGATTTTCGAATCCAACCATCGGATATAATCGTCGATTTTGGTTCGGGTTCCGGGTTTTTGACCGGCCTGTTTCCCGTCTCGACGTGGCACTTCGAAATGTTGGGGGCAATCGGGGCCGTTGATTTCGATCGTGGTCACGTTTCTCGTCCGCCAGTATTTCGCCTTTTTGAGGGCGATTGTGGCCACATTGGCAACTCCGCCTTTAAATAGGCTGTCCTCCTCCTTTGAGGGTTACCGTGCTCAAAATCTTGAAAATTTTCTAAGAAGAGAGAGTTCCCGCTTAATTCCCTCAATGACGCCGAAATCTAAGAAGTGTGTCGCGAAAGGAGGGGGTCCCGGACGCTATTCCAACCGCCTCGCCGCCGGTGCACCCGCGAGCATACCCGAGACGCACTTGGGTAAGTCAAGAGGTTCGTCTGATGACTTTGCGTAGGTTACAGACGTCGGGTTGGAAGGATGAGCATCGTTTGTCCTCCCTAGATTCGGTCATCTTTGGCAGCTTCCCCGACTTAGGACAAAGTCGGCCCCTTTTTGGGCGGATTTTGTATTTACTCATAGAGGACGATTTCTGCCTCTACAGGCGAGATTAACCTTTATCGGGTGAAGACGAACTCGTTTTTGATAGGCGAGTTCGACTTTTTCTCTGGTAGAGGGGAGTATCGTTTCTACAGGCAGATCTCGTTCTAGTTAAGCGGGTTTCGCCTTCTGACAGGCGAATTTGCCCATCTTTATTTGGTTGGCGGATTACCCTTAGGGCGGATTCTGTCCTGATTCTTTGGTTCTTTCTTGCAGCGACCTTTTCTGATGAAGCTCTTCCGAAGGGCGTCGCCGGAGGCACAGGCTATACGGCGCCTCCGCGATTTCCCTCTTTGAATCCGGTGCCTGTGTTCTCTGCTGATAAGCCGGATGGCTTGATAAAGAGAGTCACCGATGGGCACCATCTAACGCTACGTGAGTTGACCACTGACGTGGTGTTGACAGACAAGGCCAGGACGGAGTTACACAAGCCCCAGTTCTTGTTCGGCGATGCCGCGACTGATCCTTCCGCCCTGCTGATCAAGGAGAGCAGGTGGCTTCGTGAAATGGACGGGGTCCATTATTATCTTCCTAACATGCCGAGGGGGTTCTCTATCATCGAGCTGTGTTCCCTCGCGGTCCTGAGGACGATGAATTAGGATTTGACCCCTACTCAAGACGGGATGACTTGTGGCGTCTTTACAGGCTCCACAGCTGGGTACGAGGTAAAGAGCTCTTGTAAACGGGTGACTGGCCTGCGTCCGGGCCTACCTTCCAATGAGGCGCCCACTGGGGAGATGACAGCGGTCGCGGAGACTTTCCGTCATCATTTCTTCCAAGCCGGCGGGAAATTTCCCCCAAACGATTTCAGAGCTCCGGGGTGGATCTACTCTGCGCCTGGTAGCAAGACTTGGTGGTCCAAGATCACCGACTACATTTTGGCTGAGAACTCTGATCTTGCGAACTCAGAGCTGTATTCGGCCATTCAGGCCACTCGGCACGGTCTGAAGATTAATGCTTCCCAGTTCCACAGCATTTTAGAGCTGTATTATGCGGATAGTGGCACGTTTTTCACCCCTAATGGTGAGCTCGGTATAGCCCTTCACGAGATGTACGATGTGTCGGGACTACCGTTAGGAGACTTTTCGTATGAGGAGTATGTTCCTGGTCAAGATGAGATCGACCAACTTTCAGACCGCTCCCCTTTGGTGGTCGAGACCCTGTGGGAATTGCTCTGCCACTATCACATATGTCTCAATACCTTAGGAGCGGTCGACCATAAAGGTAAGAAGAAAAGGGCCCCGGGGATCAGCCACAAGAACTGGGGTGATTATTTATTCCCTGAGAACGATGTCAAAGGAAGGCCTGCTCTGCCGCTGAGCGGATGCGATCAGGCTGAAGTGGAAAGGAGGATGGCCGAAGGGGAAGCCACCGTAGCTCTCGAGCATGACGAGGGCGGGTTCAAATCCGGAATGGTCTTCCACTCGTTTCACCACCAGGCCAAGTCCCCTATATCCGAAAAGGCTCTGTTCACGAGGTACCTCATGTTGTGGCTAAAGAGGTGCGTAATCCCCACTCACTCTTTTGAGGCTCTTCCCGTGGAGGTCGTGTATCCTGCGGTTTGCTTAGCCCACGAGAAGTCCTATTCCTTGGTATCGGCGATGATAGCGTGTATCCATCGGGGGCTCCGCACCCTGACGGCCCAATTCTGCCATGTATCGACTATCGATGAGGGGGAAGGAGAGGTCATCAGGACCCCCAATCCTAGGGTGGGGCTGCCATACACTTATTTGATGGCATGGTGATAATCATATTTTATTACAATTTTATACCCTCATTATCTATTTTATATGAATAAATATACCACTAATAATTGCTTTTATCTGTTAATTGCAGGTTAATGATGAATAAATCTCAAACTCCAATATCTCAACAAAAACCCCTTGATTTAATGAAGAAATGAAGCCCATGAAGCCAAAGGAATTCTTTCAAATATTTAAGAAATAATTCAAAGGGGCTCAAGACAAATCCAATGGCTCATATTCATTGAAGATTACTATAAATAGGGGTAGAGAGTGAGGGGTTA